CCCTTTCCCCCTTCCCCTCGCCGAGCCGTCTGGACGCCGGCAGGGGGCGGAGTAGCCGGAGGGGTCTGGGGTAGAGGTGAGGGAGGGGGGAGGGGGCTTCGTAGTCAAAACAAGAGCAGTTTGGGAAGTCAGTCGGGGCGATGTTTTGATCCGTTTATTTGGTTTTTCCTCTGCGGCGGGTCCGCGCGCTGCCTTTAGCGTTAGTCATGGGGCCCGCAGTGAGCAACCCCCCGGGGGGCCGGGCCGGCATAGCGTGCAGAGCCGGGCAGAGCCGTGCAGGGCTGGCCAGCAGGGCCCTCCCGGGCGTGCCCGAGCCGCCCAGCGCGCCGCCTGCAGCTGCCTGCAGCTGCCCTGCAGCTGGCGGCCCCGGACACGCAAGCTGTGTGGCCGCCGCTGCCTGCAGCTGGAGCCGGGCGGCGCGGGCGACACTTCTTGATAGTGAGGCGGGGCGGTGCACCGGGCGGCCAGCTCCAGGGCGCTCTCCGAGGCGGGCAGCGCCACCCGATGATGAAAGGGGCGACGTGTTGGCAGCGTCTCACCCTGGCGGCCACGCCACGCCCAGCTATGCAAATTACAGAGAGCGGAGCAAGCAAAAGCAAGGAGCTGGAGCTATACTGCCCCCACCCCCCACACACTGGCTTATTGGATGACTGGAGGGGTAAGAAGGGGGTAGCGGCCGGGCGGCCGGGCCGGTGGGGGAGGGGGGCGCTATGACGAAGCGAGCCTGGATCACGCCCGGATGAGGAGGGGTCCTCCCTCACAGTGTCATGAAGGGACGGCCAAATAAGGCGCGTTGCGGAGCGTGGCGGAGCGTGATGGAGCGTTGCGGAGCGTGGCGGAGCGTGATGGAGCGTTGCGGAGCGTGGCGGAGCGTGCTCTTCTTCTACGGGCCCCGGGCGGCTAGCCGGAGCTGGGCGGACTGGCGCGGCGGCGCCGGCGCCCCTGGTCCACGCCGTACCCGTGGGGGCCGCGTCCACGTCCACCACGACAGGCGAGCGCGGGCAGCCGCGCGCGGTCCCGTTACCGCAAACTCTTGCCAATCTAATACGTGATACATAAATCGCACGGTCGGGCAGTCTGGCGGGGCGTGTGGCAATGGCGTGTGTAAGGGGGTGCGGAATGAGTTTGGCACGGGGGAGAGGCGCTGCAGCAGCAGCAGCAGCGAGGCGGGGCAGCTGGCGGAACAGGATGAGGAGGCGAAATTGGGTGGAAATGGAGTCGTGGCAGAGCATCGTTTTGACGAGCGCTACGCTACGCGGGACGCACGCGCCGCGCCGACACTACTTCCGATGGGCGGCGACTCTGTCTGTCAGCCAGCGCGTCTGTCTGGCGGGTCGCCTGTCAGCTGGTCAGTAAACGCCGCGTTGAGCGCCTAGCTTCGCTCTGCTTCGCTGCTGTCCATTTCAATGACAGCTCCTCTCGTGGGTCGTGGCCCGCGCTCCCCTCCTTGTATAATTTCCCCTATACTACTTTTCAGCAGAGACTCTTCTTCTTGCGTCCTGACGCTTTGAGGGGGTCAACTGGGAGCCCTTCCCCGGGGGAATGTCTCGCGACCGCGCTGCTACAGCCTGCATGCCCCCCCCCCCGCCTCCAGCCTCTCTCATCCTCACCCCGCTCAGCCCCGCTGCTCAGCCGTCAGCGCCCCATCGATTTCCACCCGGGCCCAAACCAAGCAAACAGACGGACAGCCGGCGGAGGGGGAGACCAGCTGACGGACGTCGCATAGATGTGCGTGCGTGCGTGTGTGCGCCTCCCACCGACGCCTAGGCTAGAGGGGGGCCACCGAATCAGACACCGTAGTTAGACTGTACCGGCAGGCACGCGTGCGGCCGGGTTGCCTACTCGGCGCCATGGTCAGAGACTTTACGACAAATCCGCCCGCTCGCCTACTTGTACGAACATCAGCCACCTGGTGCACCTTGTACAGGTCCCCGTGTCCAGCTCGGAGACCATCGTCACCGCGCTCCAGGCTGCTGACCCTGCGACGCCACACCTGTCAATGACCTCGTCGTCCTCCGCTCACTGCTCGGCTCGGCTGGCCAACTCAAATATTCAAATATTTGCGCCCCGTCCGTCCTGGTGTGTTTGAGGGGGAGGGGGGGTGTTAATGATGGACAAACATTCTCCGAGCTGGTCCCGATGCGGGCATCTACCCGTCTATCAGCGGGATGCGTCGCTTTGGAAAGCTGTGCACACGCCACAAAAAAAAGTATGGAAATATCATAGACGCTACCGTACCGTCTGTAAAGGCAATACAGCGCAGTGTTGCGGGTTAGCCTACCCGTTCTGCCTCTGCCCATAAGGTGTCATAGCCCCCTATGCAAACCCGCAAACACTGGGGAGTATTAGCGTTTACACTCGGTACAAAAAGATCGCGCTTCACCCGTCGAATGAGGTGTTCGGGCCAGATTCATGATGGCGATAACGATAGCCTGCAACAATCAGGTGATCCACCATCTACCACGCCCGCGCCCTTCACGTGCGTGTGTGCGGTCGGCCGGCGTTGCACCTGCCGCTCCCAGAGGCCCCTCCCCACACCTGTTTGAGTTCGACATCGGGTCAATTTATTGCCCCCCACTCAGAGCGGCACCCAGCACCGCCCAGCACCGCCCAGCACCGCCCAGCACCGCCGGGCGGCAATGGATTTAAGAGATCTCGTAATTCCAGTTTGCGTGCCGCTTGGAGCTGTGCTGCTCCGCCGAGTGCTCCGCGTGCTGCCGCGCCGCCCCGACTCGCCTGCATGGAAATGGCTTGGCACGGCGACGGCGACTCGCGCGACACGCCGAGACCAGAGAGATGGATGAGAATTGGAAAGTGGGAGGCTCGCCGGGCTGATGGGAGAGGGGACGCTAGCCTGCAGCCGTGTGATCGTCCGGCTGCATTCAATATCGCACCGCACCCGTCCCCCGGCCAGGGCCAGCTGTCGCCCTCGCCCTCATCTCCTCGCTGGCAGGGTCCTCGCCCCCCGCGTGAGGGCTACACTCACCCCCGTGCCACCCGCCGCCACCCTCTCCGGGTGTCATCGCGCTCAGAGGATACATCGACAGCGCTCCGGTCAGGCCTAATGACGCGGAACCTGGATGAGGACGACCACGGCTAGTCCGTGCGATGCTCTCACCATTTTGCGTTTTGTCCAAACGCTTATGGTTTTACACCGCACAGAGGTTTGGGTGACGACGCGCAGTAAGAACTTATGCCGTGGCCACGCGAAGGAGTCTCGCGAAAACGGGCACGCAGCGTGGGAGGTCCTCGTGTGCCTGCTGTGGGTGCCCCGGGGTGAACGCGGTCCCTGGCTGCACCGCCCACCCAGGCCCACGGGCCCCGCTGCGGACCTGCCGGCCGGGGCCGGGCCCACCGCAGCGGGGCGGGGCGGGGCGGGGCGGGGCGGGTGTAATGGCCCATCTTTAGGCAGCAATCTGATGAAGGGTTGCCCCGGCGGCCCCGGCCTCTGCAGTGACCGAGCCGGACGAGAACGTCCGACCGGCTGCACCGAGCCTTGCGCTGCTTCCGCTGAGCGCCGCGTGCGCCGGGGGCCAGATGGCGCACGCTCGTGTGTGCAGGGCCATGCTAGGGCGGCCCAGACGGCCCTACACGGCAGCGAGTGGCATGGCCAGTCGCGTGCCAGGATGTCACGTGCCTTTTCCCGTTGGCCATTCGTCCCGCCGCGAGGCCCCCTTGTGCTGTGTGGTTGCACCCCCCCCCCCCCCCCCTATCTCCTCTCTCTCTCTCCCTCTCTCTCTCCCCCCCCCTCTCCCTCCTTTCTCTCCAAATGTACCGAATGCGGCTGGGAGTGCCCACGACCACACAGTTTCCTCAAAATAGTGATACGTATCAGTGTCAAGACTTTGTCATTTTGGTGACCTGTTTAACCATGTTGTCTTTGGTTGTTGTAGGCTTCTGGTCGGGGCCCCCGTGGACAACAACCTGCAGCCAGGGACCAACCGGTCTGGGGCTCTGCATCGGTGTCCCATCAGTACCTACTTGCATGACTGCGAGCAGGTCATCACCGACGGCAGAAGAAGTAAGCATCCCTTTCCCCCGCGGATAGCGCGCTATGGGCGAATGGTACTATCTGGTTTAAAATATGACAAAAAAAAAACTTTCACCAAAAATCCTTAAGTATTGTCTGTCTTGTCCGCAATATGATGGAATATCGCGATGGAAATTATTTCATACTATAGAATTTAAATGAAGTTGAGTATTTTTGAGAAACAAACATATATTTTACTTTTGTACATATCGATACATATATACTATAGTTCTAAGAAGTAATGAACCAAATTCTTCTAGCTCTGCTGTGAGCCTCTGCTGATTGGGGTATTAACATAAAAATGAATGGTGTATATATGAGTAGACTAGACTAGTGGTAATGGTAGCTTCTCCGACTTTCCGTCCTGTGACACTTATTTAAGCTTCCAGGACCCTTCTTCTAATGTTCCATTTCAACCTGTAGTGCGTTGGTGTAGTGGTAGGATTCATTATGGTGGTCTGCTTGCAACAGTAATGTCCTATTTTCCATGTTTAAAATTTCCTTTTTTTATTTATTTTTTTTATTTAGGAATGTGAGTTATACATTTTTAGGTGACGAGTGTGAGAGTCTTACTCTTCTGATCTTCTGATTGCCTTGACTGAAAACCAGTGAACCAGACTTCTTGGACAATATTATCACATTCTTTAGTTGTGTTTCAATTTCAAATTCCACATTGATGATCGATTGTGTGAAAGAAAAAATGAAAACTAGTGCCCCTAAAGTATTTTGGTACATCTATCATAAAGTAAAATTATAAATGACTTACACTGACAATAACTGTAGAAGTCTACTCTAACTTGGTCACATGCTTTGGAAATTGTATCGTAAGGGTGCTAAAGCAAGTGTTGTTTCCCCAAACAAGAACTTTGTGTACCATAGTACTTATTAATCATTGTATAATTGTAGTGAATATGGAGGAGGTGGTCTTAGAATATTTTCAACTTAATACCTAAGGTATTTTTCAGACCTCAAATAGATGATGAGTTTTATTTTCGGACCATTTAGACGTCGGCATAGACGTGTGTTTGATCCGACAATAGACCTCAATGTTGAGTAGACACACAGTGTTTCTAGCTGGGGGTACAAATGCCCTATCTATTAAATAAATTTGTTGTGTATTGTATACCTCCTCCTCCTACTGGCTTCCGCTCCGTTGAGTGTTGTAGTTGGTTTCTTGATGATAAACTATTTGTGTTTTCCCTTGGCCGTGTGATGTTGAATACCAGCTCCTGAGGGACTTTACCCTAACAGTAAGTCATGACACTGGTTAGATCATTTCTACCCGGAATGTCAAATTTCTCCACTTTGCCTTGTGTGAAATGCTTGCTCAATGCGCCACGCATTTTCTGTTTTGAAAAGATGGAATATTTCTCCAAGTTCTTCTTATTTTGCATCAAGTTTCTCATAATTTTTTGGCACGTTTGTGTGTTTTTGATTTTGCTGCTGCTCTCTTATTTTAGCTGCAGCATTGACTTTATTTGTGTGTGTTTTCATGTGTGGAAAACTGTATGTTTTTGTGGCTGAGTATATTAATCCAGCTTAATATATCTGTTTTTGTTCACTTATTTTAATTTTTCTTTTAATTTTTACTTAAACCACAGAATTTTTTTTTTGTTATTTTTGAAAAATTATATTTGTCTGGAGACACACTGTGGTTAGCACTTCTAAAGGTGAAGGAAGCAAAATGAATGTCAATTTCAACTCCTCCCCCTCTACACATTCCACAAGCACACAATGATGCATGGCACACACACCTCCTATGATTCCCCAGTCCTAAACTATTTTGACTTCTCTCCTAATTGTTGGATCATCCAAATCAGTTCCCTGAGCATCGTACCATCCTAACTTTTCTCCATTTATGAGCATCTACAGTACAACGTACCATCAAAGATTTACATTTCGAAAAAAGTAGGGAAAAGAAAGCAACTTGAGTTTTTACAGCTCCAAAAATAATTTTAAAATTACTGGTGTCTGACTAAGAGTATGTATATTATTTTACTTTATTTTTAGCAAGGAACATAGTGGATATGAACCCTATCCAGGCACTGTGCACCTTTATGGTGTCTGCAGCAATTTCAGCATGGTCTGAGGAATGTGTCGCATGTGAATGTGTTTTTATTATTTTTAATTTTTCTTTTTGTGTGTGTGTTTTGTTTGGATTGACTCCTCACAAATTACTTTGTTTTCTTTTTTTGTTATTTCAGTAGGGCCTTGCACTTTTTTCACTCTTTTTTTAATGCATGTTGTATGTATTGACTTTCACTTTTCTTTACAATTTATTTTTTCTTGTTAAATGCACGCTCAGTTTTTCTATAGATATCTGCTTGTTTTTTTTTTAAAAGCTGTCATCAAAATATGTTACTGTAACACTAGCTTTATTTTTGTGGTTGACCAAATCACAGTTTGGCTCTACTTTAAATAGTTAAATTGCTTTCAATATTTTGCCCATGTTATATTTATTTCCAACACACAATTTTTACAAAAGGCAAGTTTAAAACTAGTTCTGCAAACCAGACTAATTTGGTTTTGCGATTGTAATATGTTTACCTAAATTTATAGAATTGTACATTGGAATAGTTCTCACTTGCCAAAGATTAATTTCTCAGTAGTACTTATTAATTATCTAACATACATGTAATAAATAAAGAGATGAGGTCTCTTTTGAAAATATTGTAAATAAGACTATCCAAAACATATTTAATTTGGGAAAGAAAAGCGTGTTCTTGACACTTTTCAGGCAAACATTTCAGAGATGTAACCAATCATTAAGTTTCGACATTTATTACAGATTTCACCCCTCAGTGGACTGTTGCTAATAAATGGTCTTACTTTTATTTGTAGCTATTGACTCGGACAACCTGACACGGCCCCACGAAGATGAATTGAAGGATGGACAGTGGCTTGGTGTCACAGTGCGTAGTCAAGGAGCTGGCGGAATAGTAATGGTATGCTAAAAAGCTTCTCAATGTACTATTTAATACTTCTACTATAACTATTTAATAGTGTTATTCTCAATGACATACTTGTGTTTTTGTGTTAGGTATGCGCCCATAGATATGCAAGATCGAATGTTCAGCGTGATTTTGTGTGGGGGTATGGGCTGTGTTACACTCTTTCCCAAAGATTGGATTATGACAATACTTGGGAACCATGCAAAGGAAGACCAGTTGAAAAGCAAGTTTCCCTTTAATATCTGCCTTTTATAATTGTGCTTTTGAGTTAACAAAAATTCTCTTAATTAAGGAAAATTCTTGTCATTTGCAGGGGTCATGAACAATATGGGTTCTGTCAAGCTGGTACCAGTGGTATAGTTTTGGATGATGATACCATGGTGATAGGATCACCAGGATCTTATACATGGAGAGGTGCTACTTTTGTCGCAAGTACCTCTTCTGATTTCTTGGGAAGAGACAAAACAGTATATTCCAGCCCAGTTTTAGACAACGAAGCTCCTGTGGACAAATACAGCTACCTTGGTGAGATTTTAATGCCTCTGTTTCAAAATTTTTTTTGATCTTATCAGTGCTTAAGTTTAAATTAAGGCAATAGAATTTTTCTTCTGATTTTAAAGAAATAATTTTGAGGACTCTGCTTTACAGGTATGTCTGTAACTGGCGGACACTTTTTAGGAAAACATATGTCCTTTGTGACTGGGGCACCAAGGGCAAATGGAACTGGCCAGGTTGTATTTTTTAGGAAGGATGGAAAAAATATGACAATGAAGATGGAATTACTTTTGCCAGGAGAGCAATTTGCCAGCAGCTTTGGTTATGAAGTGATTGCTGCTGATCTTAATGGAGACAAGTAAGATACATAAAAAATTAAAACTTGATTTGTTTCACTTTTGCTTTCTATTGTTACTATCCAACCAAGTGTTTTCAAAATGTTTATGTATGATATGATTCTAGGCTTCCAGATTTAATTGTTGGGGCACCATTTTATTTTGACCGTGATGCTGGTGGGGCTGTATATGTCTACCTTAACAGTCAGGAAAAGTGCAGATTGCAATGCAATAAGCCCATTAGGCTTACTGGAAAACCAGAATCAAGGTATTGGAAATAATTTCAAATCTACTTGCAAACCAACTTGTTATTTTTAAGGAGTATAATATACCTAACGGGGTCATTTACAGGTTTGGCTTTGCTATTGCTAATGTGAGCGACCTCAATAACGATGGCTTTGATGATCTAGCAATAGGTGCCCCCTATGAAGGGAAGGGTACTATTTACATTTATCTAGGATCTAGAAATGGCTTGATTACTGAGCCTGCTCAGGTAACTTTGTTTGTCATTTATCTTGTTATTTTTGTTTTTTCTACAGCTAACATTTCTCAGGCTTTTCACAAGTTATTAATATTTTCATATTTAACAGGTAATTCACGCAGAAGACCTTCCTGGAAACACAGTCTCTACTCTTGGTTATTCTCTAAGTGGGGGGATGGATCTAGATGAGAACGGGTACCCTGATCTTCTAGCTGGTGCCTATGAAAGTGACTCTGTTGTTCTTTTTCGGTCAAGGCCAATTATTGGAATACGAACAAGTGTTCAACCAGAGAGAAATCTTATAAATATTGATCCAAATGGTCAGGGCTGTGAGAGAGATCCTGATTATAAGCATACTTGGTAAGTTCCACACTGTTTCTTGTGAAACTCGTCATCCATATCAATACCATTACTCATGTTTCTGTTACTTCATTTCAGTTTCTCATTTCAAACTTGCTGCACTATTGAGGCAGTAAAGCATAATCAACGCAATGACGGAGGTAAAAATGTACGGGTGAAGTTCCGCATAGAAGCAGAAACATTTGCCGGAAATAACAGGAAGTTTTCACGTGTTTGGTTTGGACGCGACAACAATGTTACACGGCCCTCTTACATAGAAAGAATAATTCTGCCTGAGATGAGTTCTTCTGGGTCTCTAAATCATTGTCAAGAGCATATAGTGTATGTCAAGGTCAGTAAAAATAATTTCAAATAATTTTTTTACTTCTTAAAATCAAAGAAATACGTACATGCAATCTTCAAAATTGCCATAATGTAATTTTTTTGCTTTATTTTTAGGAAAACACACCTGACATTCAGTCTGCTATAAAGTTCAAACTGAACTACACTCTGGTTCAGCACTATCCTCAGATGCCAAGACAAGGCGATCCAGTACCCTCCTTACATGAATATCCAATCCTTAATCAGCAGGAAGCTGCTAAAATATTTAGTGCAACTTTCCAGAAAGATTGTGGAGATAATGAAATATGTGAAAGTGATTTATTAGTTGAAGCTGAGTTTCATTTGCCAAAAAGTATGTTTCATCATTTCAGAATTTCTTTTTGTTTCTTGTTATATTACTACACAACACTAAATTTTTATCTGCGCAGGTACCGAACCTAACACATGGAAGCTGATGTTGGGTACAGATCAAGAATTAGGTCTTAATATAACTGTCTCCAACCGAAAAGAGTCAGCTTACGAAACACAACTATTTGTCAGTCACCCAGCCAGCATCAGTTATATTGGTCGCAAAGTGGAGGTTTGTTAAAGCCAATAGAGTACCATATACAGGTAGATTTTTGCAAGCTTTAGCATCAAATTTAAAATTTTGGAATTTATTTTACAGGGTAATAAACAACTCAACTGTAATCCACACAATACTACCTTAGTTGTCTGTGCAATTGGTAATCCTTTCAACAAAGATAGCAGTGTCAATTTGTTGCTGCGTTTTAATTCTAAATTTTTCGATGACACTCAGCCTTTACTAGAATTTGTAGTGTTTGCAAACTCAACATCTCAGGAGGTCCATAAAAAAGAACCTCTACATTTGATTACAGCAGTTGTTAAAAGGGCTGAGCTACAAATAACTGGGTAAATTTCTACTTTATTCTAAATTTTTCCATAGTTTATTTTTCTATAATTCAATGTAATTTTTTGCTTTAATATGTCGTTTTCAGATCGGCTCGTCCAGAACAGGTTTTTTATGCTGGTGATGTGAAAGGAGAATCAGCCATGAAATATCAAGATGAAATTGGTTCAAGAATACTGCATACTTATCAAGTTTTCAACAAGGGGCCCTGGCGAGTAGGGACTGTTGATATAAATTTTGAATGGCCTTTCCAAGTCGCTAATAACAAGCCGCAAGGAAAGTGGCTTCTCTACTTGGAAGATGTACCTGCAGTTGAATGTTAATAGGATTTTTTATTTTTTGTTTGGAGCTATAAAAAAAATTGTTTTAAAATTACCCAATTGCATATATTTTTTCTTTTAGCGCAAGGAGGAGAAAGCTGTACAATGAAGCCTGGTCAAGTCAACCCTCTTAACCTGCGTCAAAGACCCGGTTTGGAAGAGGCCTCGTGGGATGAGATTTCTCCGCGCGGTGGAAACATCTATTCTGGCCCATCAAACACGACCCAGAATAGTCCATCTAAAATTCGGAGGAAAAGGGAACAAGAGATGATAGTCCGGCCAGAGGCTTGGACTGACAAAGAGGGTAGAAAACATCAAGTAGTATACATGGTGAGTAGAGTTGGTTGTTTAGTTATGCTGTACCAAATTAATCCTGACAACACAAACACAGCATTACTTGATTTGCATTAATTTTTCCTGTTTTAGGATTGCCTGTTAGGAACAGCCAAGTGCTTCCATTTTGTTTGCCATATTCACAACCTACAACCTCAGCAAGCAGCAACTATTAGAATTAGAGCTCGCCTTTGGAATGCAACACTGGTTGAGGACTACCCAAGAGTTAGTTTTGTCAGTATTCGATCAAGAGCACGAATTCACATCCCTCCTGCCCTTGCAATCCAACAAGACACATCAGATGATGAAACACAGGTATGCAATATTTACAAATTATTTTCCCATATTGCATGAGAAAACAAATATATGATATATGTGGCATAATATTTGATGTTACACAGGTCGAAACAGTTGCCTACCCTGAGCTACTAGATCAACAAGAAGCTGAATCAGTACCTATTTGGATCATTGTGGTGGCTGTAGTGGCAGGACTAGTCTTATTCATTTTACTTACTTACGTCTTATGGAAATTCGGATTCTTCAAAAGGCGGCGACCGGATCCAACTCTCTCAGGAAACATTGAAAAACACAGAAATGATAATAGTGATCTCGACTACTAGTCTCATCATTTTGCATCATATGCCTAGAATACCTCTGGGCAGTCTGTCAGAAAATTGTGAAAAAGACTGATGGAAAATTTATTTAATATAGCAAAATTGATGTGTTAAGATTTAAAGCAACTTGCAGATTTAAGTGTTGCATTTTTATCAAACTCCTCAGAATTATGGAACAACAATGTAGCTCTAGTTGATTTTATTTTAATTGTATTACCATAAAAATGAGCCACTGCACATGTGCTTTGTGTCATAATTTACCAAAGTGAATTACTAATTGAATACTGAGCGTGAAAGTGAAGCTCTGTACACCTAGTGGCAGGGTACTTAATGTGTCTGATGACTACAAACCACTGCCTTATGTTCATTAACTGCTGATGAGCTACTAAGGCTTCTCCTTATTGTTTAAGCATTCACTACTGTATGTATATATAAAAACAGTATCTGTATTGTTAAACATGTCTGGTAGGTAGATAGAGATGCTAAAGCAAAACCTGCCTCTCTTACATTTTCATCTCTGTAAATATTGTTTTTGATAATTTGTGTAAATATTCATGGCATATGTACCTCATCTGACCAAGTGTAAATCATTTTTCTTTTAAATTTTTATTGCAGTGCAGGACTGTGATTTGTTAGTGATGCACTTTGTACTGTTGAAGTTTTCTCTGTACATACAAGTGATATGTTGTCTGTTCAAGTGTTTTTGTGTACATGTGAATTTAGAAGAGAAATGTATGTATGTATTTTTAAATAATGTAAGTAGATACTATTTATCGAATGTGAAGGGGAATGAAATTCCAAATGGATACTTTTGCTTTGAGTGCTGTTAATTGTCTCTTTTTCTACTCTCCTCTTTCTTACTGTGTATGGTATCAAGTAATGCATGAGCAAATCCGATTAACCTTGGAACCTTTTAAGGTTTTAAGATTTAATACAACAAATAAGCAACAGTCTTATACTTGACAGTGCTGACAAGCTTGAGCTTCAACAATTACTTTTGTATGTTGATTTTTATTTTTTTTTTAACTAAGGAAATTTTCCTGGTAACTTTCTACTTGTTGTCTGCTGGTAATTGTTTGTCAGAAGTCATTAACTTTTTTTTCAGTCATAATTGATTTTAGAGCAGGAATAAAGGTACTTACACACTTCACAAACACTGTAAATTGAACATGTTATGTAAATAAATTTTAGACATTGTGTGCTTAGCACTCAGTGTGTTAAAGAAGGCTCACTATGTGTGCCATTGTGATATGGTGCTAAGTTTTTAAAAGAACCTGCCACTTAAGATTTATGTATATTATAATGTTGTGTAATATTGATAAATATAATTTATACATAGGTGTGTATGAGAAGGCTTCTTGTCAGTCTGAAACCTTGTAAAACTTGCTTAAGTTCTAACTTCATATATGGAAAAGTTGTGAGCAGTATACAGACATTTTATTTTTTAAAGAAGTGATCACTTTTTAAGAAGCATATGTTTTGAAAATTTTTAGATTTAAAAAATTACGCAATTGATTTGCCATTATGCACATGAACATTCCAGAAATATTACTATGTATTCAGAATTTTATTGTCTGTACTTGCAAAACCTCTCAAATCTGTAATAAGGTGGCACAGTGTGGTAATTTTCAAAGAAACTTACTCCTGGAAATGTATTTTTGATGAAAGCTGTGCTTATATAGCATGAAATTTACAACCCATTTTGTGTATGAAAACTTAATTTTATACTTACTGTGAAACAATAAATTGTTATGAATGAAAACAAGCAAAACTAAGAATACTACATTATTTAAACTTTCCTATCATGTGATATCTGCTACAATACATACGTCGATTGGCCAAAAGTGGTTTCTAATAATGTTGGTAGAGGCGCGTAAACGATTCAAACAGTGGACGTAATGAATGTTGGTACTGGCTGTACACCACTTACATCAGACACTAAGAAAAAAATTAACTGTAGGAAACAGTTTCGAGGTTCCATGCAAATTCCTTTTATACTCTCGCACTATTGTGCGGAATCCACAATTTTAAAAAACAGCCAAAACAACAGCGTAATGAAAATTTGAAACCAAAAGAAAAAATTATCTCTGGTATATTTCACCAGAAGAAACAAGATTGCACTGAGGTAATTCTTATTCTTACCAACAGAGCACCATTATTGCAAAGCTCACTTTTCACTCACCGGTTGACCTCATCTTTGTTTTCATTTGATTTGAGAGAGCAGTAGAGATTTTCATGGCCGTTTGGATACTCCAGAGTCGGTGTCGGTGTCGGTAAAAATATGGAAAATTTGAATGGCGTTTGAACTTTTATGAACAATCGCTTAAACAAGTTGTGATTATTATTGTACTTTACTGTACGAAACAAAAACAAATCAACTGTGGATTTTTGTGTAACTTTGTGTAGTTACGAGTCATGAGTAATTTGATTGGTTTCATGCAGGTTGATGTTGATGGCCACTTAACCTAACTCTGTGGGCGGCAATAAGCAGACAAGCAAGCAGGCGGAGTTACTTCGTCAGGTTCTGTTTATGATGGTTGGGGTTTTCCTTGGGAATTTCGAAGTGGCAATTTAACCCGCACAACAACTGCTACAATCTTATTTGACGTCAGCTCCAATCCCTATGAGTTTTTTAAAATTTTGAAACGTTAAATTGCCTTTACAAACGAAACTCGGTATGGTTTGATCTTGTTCGAAACTGCTTTTGAACGGTAAAATGGGGTTATAGGTTCCAAGTTTATTAAACGTGATGTGTGTACTGTTGACAGCTCGCATCTTTGAACATCTATTCTGACTTAAGTGAATACTTATTCCAAGTTTGCTCACTGTCAGTCATTAAACCTAACTTAACACAAGCCTTGGTAAATACTTTTTACTATTATTCGGCTTCTTTTTAGTTTTCTTTAGTCCATTTTACTTCCTTTTCTGTTCTTGATTTCTAACTCATAATTACATGTTTTAACAGCTATTCCGGAAGTCATGAAAAGAGCACAAGAAAATATATGGATATGACTCCCGTTTCCTAGTCAACCGATCTTTTGAGCATTTTTATCTTTGGTCAACATGAGATGGATTCCCATGACTCAGAAATAATTATTTTGGAAGAAATTAGGGATTCAAAGAAAGCAGGGACTCAAGTTCAAGCTCCCAACCCCTTTCAAATTAATGGTGAACCATTGACGAAGGAGGAGCATGTCGACTCTCATCTATCATGCAATGGAGATGATGATATCCCTGATTTTGATGATGCAGATTTGCAAGTCTTAGACTGTTGGGAAGATGTAGATGAAGATGCTAATGAGGAATGTGGCAATACAACTGTAGAACAAGAGAATTTTGTACAAAAATCAACTTCTCCTCTGAAAGATTTGGATTTGACGGATGAATCAAATCAGAAGAGGCGAGATGTTCGTTCATCAAGTCTTGATTCAGTGAAAACTATAATATTTGAGGACTTAACAAATCTAGATGAAGTTAAACCAGCACAGAAAAATGTTATAGAGGGGAAGACATCAAACCTGGATGAGTCCAGGACACCTGTCAAAGAAGACTCATCTGAGTCCAAAAAGAAAAGAGAAGATGAATCGTCTGGGTCTAAAAAGAAAAGAGAAGACGACTTGTCCGGGTTTAAAAAGAAAAGAGAAGATAACTCATCTGAGTCTAAAAAGAAAAAAGAAGACGACCCATCCCAGTCTAAAAAGAAAAGAGAAGATGACTCATCTGAGTCTAAAAAGAAAAGAGAAGATGAATCATCTGAGTTTAAAAAGAAAAGAGAAGATGACAAATCTGTCAAAAAAGATGATTCTAAGAAACCAGCTTCAACCAAAGTGAGTTCTGACAAGAAGAAACAAGGCAGTGACTGTGAGATTCATCGTCCTTCCAAGACATCTCATGAGAAGTCCAGAGATTTGTCCCACAAAAAGCCTCTTAATGAAACTTCGTTAAGGGCTGAACTTAATCTTCCAACTGACCCAACTGAAACAAAGGTTGATAAGTTTTTAAAAGAAATGGCTCTTCAAAACCCACATATTATTGGTTTACAGGATATTTCTGAGGATGGAAATACACTTGACCCAGTCAGTAGTGAATCAAGTAAACATTCAAGTAATTTACCTTCACCTGATATAGACCCTTCAGATTTACCTCCTGGAGTTGATTTGGAACAGAGTGCAGTAGATACTAGCACTGCATCTCTTTTAGCTATTACTTCAAAGGCAGCTGAATCAAAACAGTCTGCTGGGGCTAATACAGACGCATCTCGAAATAGTCTTTCCCTAAAGACTATTCGTGGGCAAGTTGAAGAATATAGTAGTGGAAGAGGGCCAAAGCCTCATCATTCAGGGCGCTACCGTGTATCTGAAACATCCAAAGGCCTGGGTGGTGAAAAGGATGGAAGAAGTCGATCTCCTAACGGTAAACATATATTTGGATACACGGACAAGTCAGCTAGTTCAAGATCACCACCAGTGTATAAGACTAAGAAGACATCACCAACAAGATCATTTACCATATCACCTTCACCTTCTCCTAGATCTCGGCGCTTATCCCGATCTCCTTTGCCATCACATAGGATACCCCAATTATTAGATGTAAATTTTTCATCTCATAAGTATTCAGATAGACCTCACTATCAATCATCATTAGAGACAACTAGATATCATAGATCACCACCTCGTGATCAAGGAAATCTCAGAGCTTTGTCCAGATCTCTTTCAAGAGAAAGGGATCAAAGTCGTTCAAGATCTAAGTCAAGAGGTAGATCCTTTCTAAGGCATAGGTCAAGGTCGCGGTCTAGAAATCGCTTCTCCTCAAAAGAAGAACGCAGTCGTCGTTATAGAAGAAGTTCTTCGCGAAGTAGGTCACCTAGCAGAAGAATGAGATCTAGGTCAAGGTCTCGATCATGGTCACCTCACCGATACACTCGGAAGAGGTCTCCATTAGCAAGAGAAGACAGTAGAGCAAAAAGGGCACGTTTGTCTCGATCAAATTCAAGAAGCAAATCTCCCTGGAATATTCATGTAGAGACACCATTAAATGAGGTATATATTTTTTGAGAATCTTCCATATAAAATTTTGAAAGAAATATGTTTTTATATTATTATTTTTTTTTCTTTCTAGTGGCATAATACATATGAAGTCAATAGGAATCCTTCTTTGAATGAAGATGTTCAACTGGAGCATGACATGGCACGGTTTATTGCAACAAATATGGCTGCAACGGGATTAAGACCTCCAGTGAGTGACATCAGAGTATGGTATGAACCTGGAGTAAACATTCGGGACACCATGCCTCAGAGTTTTTCACTGGAAGAGCCTTCTGCTGATGCTATTAGGCAAGGAATGGGTATGCCTTTACCTCCTCCTCCACCGGATATTTCTGAATTAATGACTGCTGAAGAAATCAAGGAAACTGTTGCCTTAGGAAATATGGTAACTTCTTGCAATAATATGATCTTAATTCTGTGCAGCAAATTTATTTATTTTGCTGACTTGAATAAATTTTCTGATACTATATTTTTTCTTTTAAATTTCAGAGTCCTGAAGTGCCAGCACCAAGTCTGTCAAGTTTGCTAGAGTCTGCTGTATCAGGTATGTTTAAGTTTTTTGTCACACATTTACTTCAGTTCTCTTTCATTTTCCACAAATATTCCATTAAATTTCAGAATACTTGCTTAATAGGATTTAGACCAACTAAATTATACCAACAGATCTACCTTCTTCTTATTTTTTGTTGTTTCCTTTCAGGATCTCCAAACAATATTATTTTGGAACGTTGTCAGGATGCTATAATGAAGCTTCATGATGTGAGCTTTAAACCTGGGCGGTTTGCTGTAATTTCCTCTATTAAGGTTCCACAAACAAAAGCTCATTCAACATTTCAGCTTTGGCAATCTGTGGTGAACCGTACCCTACCCTCAAAAGTTCAGTTTAACTATTGTGAACCTACTAAACCATTAGTATTTTGGGAATCTTCCAAGTCTAAGCCGAAGCCGAAGCTAAAGATAAATGAAGTGAAGAGTGTCCCGTTACACATGGAGGCTGTACCATCGCCTTCTAGCCTATCCACCTTAATTCCTTCAACAACTGCAGATCTTGACCGTGCAGCGTTATTGGATAAAATATTCTTTCTAACCAGAGAATTGCAAGAAGTCAGAGAGAGTCTTGACCGCAAAACAGTTCCAAAGAAACATGCAAGTGCTCAGACCACTCCTGTGAACCTCTGTGAGATGTGTAGTAATTCTCAGAAAGCACCTGTGCCTAACAGAAATTTCCAAGCAACATCCTCCTCCAACTCCTCTACTACAACAAGCTCACCCTTTGGACGGAGACCATCAGTGTTTAGTTCCTCTTGTCAAACGCAAACCACTTCTCAACCTGTGTATGCTGTTCATCAAGCATCTTACCCACAGCCAGTGCCTGCCCCAAAGCCAGTGACCACCTCAAAACCAGTGGCTACACCAAAGCCTATCCCAAAGCCAGTTCCTCCTCCCCATCCTGTTGCTGTCTCTCGACCTGCTCCCACCCCTCAACCTGTACCCGCCCCCCAACCTGTGCCCGCCCCTCAACTGGTGCCCGCCCCTACATCTTCATCCACAACTGTAGGTCCCTCACAACCTGCCCCACTCCCAGTACCTGCCCCTCAGGTAGTTCCTCCTCCAACCCAGTTCCATCATTTAATGTCTGGCACAAATTCAACCGCCCATGGTTCTTCAAATAAGTCTCAGTCGAGTAACCAGAACTCAGCATTACCACTTCCAGTTCAGTCCACTTCTGAGGTAAGATTGAGATGAAACATTTTATGTGCAGTACATAATTGATGATTGTGAGTAGACACCTTAACTAATATTAATTTGTTTCCAGGAGAAAAAGAAGACAAACTTTGGGGAAACTAGTAAAACTAATGTACCCAATCCAAAGGCAAATTCTTCAATACCTCCATTGATACCAGGATTGATTGGATCTTCTAAATCTAACACTCCACCAGCACAAGTGCCAGCCACAAAACCACCAACAGCTAGTGGTCTGAGTAAATCTGTTGTTCCTGTAATGAGTCCAATGACTGCTAATGATTTAGACCTTAGAAAATATGTTGTGATTGGCGATGAACATGGTATGGATCTCAGAACATATCTTCAAGGAATAGGAATTGATATTATATTTCATTCCAAACTTTGCAGTACAGGTCAGAGTTTGGATTCAGTACTCAAGAATGTTATTTCATGTAATAACTTGTGTAAGCAGGTTGTTGTTTTCATGGGCATGTACAATAGTTCTTACAATAGCAAAAGTATGGACAAATTTAAACAACTAATTGGATATTTAAGGAAACGATGTAAACACTTGGTGATTGTTGAACCTCCACCAGTGCCCAAGTTTCAGTCTATGAAGAGCGCATGGCAATTATTCAGTGAAATGGTAAATACTTACCAACCATTTAAAGGTGAAAATGTCAGTATAGTACACTGTCGCCAATTTTTACTCTTTGATAACCAAACACCAAACATTCCTATGTTTGCTAGCCCTGAACGTTTAAGTTTTGAAGGCTTAAGATTAATATATGAAGAAATCATAAGGAAGCTAGAAGAGAAAAAAAGTAACTCTGTGTGGTCTGGTTTAAATGCAAGATGATGAAGTATAGTTATTGAAGTTTTCTTTCTGTTATTGGTGTTGTTGCCATATAAATATGGTTAACACAGGCTGCATTAATT